CGTAATTTCTGTTGAAATGAATTTCTTTAAGCTTCGGGTTGTATGGTTAGGTAAACGTGCTTGATCATAATAGAAGATGAGGCTTATGGAATATTGAGCAGCTTGCGTTGCCCTGTGTTTAATTTTCAGCCAAACGGACAAGGTATTGATGAAGTCAAGCATTGGTCGGTTAGGTGCGCATGGGGCCATTGCTGCCCAACTCTCCGTTTTCGGGGGAGTACCGAATTGCCGTGTCTATTAGTAGCCTTCCAAGGCATAACTTCTAACGCACCGTGATGGTTTAAAAGCGCGTCAGATTGTGTACAGTGAGGAATATGCGGGAACGGAGCCCCCAGAGTCGACCCCACTGTGTCTTTTTCTTCTCTCACACACTAGTTCACTCTCAGAGCCGGTCGGCCATCTTAGGACACATTGGGCGCAAGCGACTAGTAGAGCTAAGCAATCCGTCTACGCCCGCCCCCATGATGCAGCCTCCTGTACAACACACCAGATTTTTATAGGATACCCGCACTACATACACACTTAATAAAAAACGAAGGGCACAGGCGGTGCCTCCGTTGTGTTGCTAACCGATCGCTATTGCTGCGCAATCCCTACCTAAATATTGAAACATTCCGTGAGGATCCTAGTGTTACCGGTTTTAAGTGAATGGATATATTCCGGTAAGCCGGTCTACTAAATACCTCACTGAAATGCTCTTGGCAAATAAAAACCACAGCAACATACTTCTAGTGCTTTGGGCATGGTCAGCCTGCAAGTTACTCATCTCAAGATAGAGTATTAATATTCGACTACTAACAATCCTAAACACTAGAAGTCACTCCTCAGGTCTAACTAGGCCACCAATCTCGAATCGGATGGCCTGTGCTGAAACAAGACCGGGAATATCAAAAAACACAAGAATACGGCAAAAAAACAATGGTTCGCAAACATATGTATAAACGCCGTTTAGGCGCATTAAGACCCATCGTAACTAATATCGCGCGCATTGATGGGAACCTGTCGAGACACGGAATGAGCCTGGGAAGTTTGAGAGAAGTTTATCGAAAATATCTGAAAAGCAATCGGCCAGCTAGGATAACAGAGTCGAGAACAGCCGATTTTCCCCGTTTATCGGAAGGAGGGAATGCTTATCACTCAAATAATCTTAAGGCTCAAAGATCAGACTCGGAATACCCGGCTACGTAAAATAATCCCGTACGGTAGAAATCAATCGATTATCTACAATCGATCAGAAAATGGACCAGAAGACGATGGTATCGAAAACATTTGTTTCAAGGAAAATTGGCAATGGTTCCACCAACAACTGGCAATCGCCCTCACCCTCCAGGTACAAGAGGGTAAAATGGCCAGTACGTTGGGAGTAACAGATTGAAAGAGAAACGACTGCTAAAATGAGCATCTCGACCGTCAGCAATGACTACACTGCGGACACCAAAGGTGCGGACAAACAAAGAAATAGTCACAGTTTTAAAAAATATACACACGAAAAGTGAACAAATACTAAGCCAGAAAAGAGACCTAAAGGCAAATAAACATTTGAACACTTCTTTGAAGGTGAGAGGACTAAGCGGCAAGAGGTAAGGAGCGGAAGGAGGGGGGAGGGATAACGGATGCAATGTCCCGGAATGATTAGGGGGCGCGGGCAAAGAGACTGCCCGGCTACTTGGGACGGCGACCAGCAAGGCGGAAGAGGACCCAAGCAAAGGGTAACAGCCAGAGACGACCGGGACTCAGCAGGCAGGCGAACCAACCGTACGGCAGGAGGACAGTGAACACACAAAAGACGAGCTGAAAGGCGCTCCAAACCGCCAGCAGAAGTAGGGAGGAGATCTTGCAGTGGCAACACCTGGCTGGTGGAGGGTTAAGCCTTACCTCGCCAACCCGACGAACCAGGAGGCAAATAAGAGCGTAGATCATTGGAAATTGCTAAAAGGAGAAACAGAATGGAGGAAGGGTAATGATTAATGGGGTGGAACAAAAGATGGTAGCTGACGCTTTATCCATCTTAATTGTAGGTCAATAACCGAAGCAAAGAGGGGAAGAACAGAAGTCTGAAGAAATGTTCAGTTTTATTAATTCGGACGATGGAGACAAAATTTTCAATGCGTAGGGCTCATAGCAACGGTTATTACAGATATTAGTGGAAGCGTGTGTATCTCAAACGACTCGCAAGGTTATCAGGTAAGTGACTGAGGGCATGTATTGTGCTTTGTGCGTTCGACAAGCTGTTCGCGGAAACTAAACATTTATGTGTAGGGAATAAGATAGACTAGGACGAAATAAGCAACTGAAGCAGCTGCAGGAATCTGTACAGCATTTTTGCTTCCTGCAAACGAACAGTAATCACAGGTCACTAAAGATTCCCGTGGAGGTGCAATAGAACATATGGATGGACTATATCCTAAGCTTGCGATAAGTAACACAACCGACGCCAAAATAGTTAACAAATATGCTTACTATAACAAAGTTAGTAGACAGTTATGCAAAATGCAAAAGGATGTGGCGTTGGATCGTTACAAAATTTAGAAAAGATATAAGCTAGATATTCAGAATGTCGAGGTTATCTTAGAACTGCATAAGCAGCGAAAACGAAGTCGCTAAAGGAGCCTGCTAGACACTATCTTCAATGGATGATTTTCAGAGCATCGGAACTGCCCAATTCAGAATCTCGAATGAATGTCAGTGATATAATAAAACAAAGGCAAATCAACAGGGAGCAAGTTCGAATTGGAGCATGTTTAAGGTTGACACTACCCAACCTTAATAACTACGTGATTTACTTTTCTCAGTTTAAACAAGAGCAAGAAAAAGTACGGCGCTCGTTTGATTTTCACGGTTTACTGTGGGGAGAGAGACGGGGAAATGTATACATACTTTTTCCAACGGTTTAGCGTATTGACTGGATGACGGCCTTCGGTACAATCGGATGGTAAGGAATGGACGCAGAGTACCAAGGGCTGTTGCCGCCACTTTTTTGGTTCCCGCCATCTTTTTTCAAGGTCATTTACCCGTTTTGCGAGCGGCTCCAGACCCACTGAAACATGCACGCCATTTGAACATGCAAAAATGCGGCACGAGATATTTATATTTTCCCGGCAAAAGCCCACAAAGGCAGGTGACATTAGTACTTAAGTCTCCCAGGCACGGCTTACAAGTCCTAGCCGCGTCAGCGGCAACCATCGTCCACGAGTCAGCAGCCCGGAGATTTGTGTGTAATAATTGCAGCACTCTGATGTCTGCCCTCTCATCATGCTAATCGGGACTTTACTTGATGATGGTGACGCTGCAATTACATCCACTACGTGATCCGCCACACACACACACAAAAACATAACTTCAAGTCAAATTACGTAATTTTTTTTAACTTGCTACCGCCAAATAGCTGCATACGCCTGGAACAACGCTCTGAGGCCCCAGAAGCAGAAGTCGAGAATATTCGGCCATAGAGTGATGCCGCGCACTGATTCACCTTGACTGCGGATGGAGACGTGCATAAGATATAAAAAGGATGCGATGGCTGGAACAGGACGGCTACTGCTCGGACGGGATGGCATGGGCGACCAACAATCCCGCTGACAGCGAGCCAAGTTGTCGAGTAAAGATCACGCCAACATCCAACACAGACGATGAAATCACGGTCATTAACAACTCGGACGCAGACTGCCAAACCAGTAACGCATCAAGTGCGACCCTCAGTGGTGATCCCGAGAGCTGCTAATTGCAATACATATGTTGTTCCACGGAAACTACGTATTATAAATACCGTACTCCTTGTGCCCCTACTACGCTGATCCGCAATCGCCTCTGATGCTGGGTTCAAGTGAAAATCCGAAACCTCAGGAGAAGGCACGTCTTGTTCCAATGATAGCATTTTCTTCTTCCGGAGACGTCTAGAACCCCTCCAGGCGACTTGAACGAAGGTATGACAGACGTCTCATTACATGAAGTCAAATAAGGAGCTCCGTATAGTTAAATAGTTAGGCATCATTTATGCCCCCTTGCTTCCGACAGGACAAAAGAATAGAACGCTCCGTAGTACAGGTGACTTTGCACTACGTTTCAGGAAAATTAGGATCGGTGCTAAGGTTAGGGTTAGGATTAAGTTAACGGTTTGAGTTAGTATTAGGATGGCAAAATAGGTATGATTTCTGAATTTTAGGGCACTGCCACCTGTACTAGGGGAGAGGGGGAGCGTTCCTATTTCCCGTACTGCTGCGGGGGAAAGTACGTAACCGAGTCCGACAGACAAATACGTTGAGAGCCGTAAGTTTCGGCATAAAAAATCCGGAGTATAAATGCAAGTAAAAGGCAGCGGGTGTGCGCGTAAGAAGTACCTGGTAGATTTCGAAGACGTATGTGAAGCTCTCGGGTAGAAAGGTATTGCTGACAAACAGTCCAAAGACGAAGACAACTCCAAAATGCGAGTCCACAATGGAACCAATGAAAATCGGACCTAAAAGAGCATTGCGATTTTGTTAGTAAGTAAAAAGCGGAGAAAAAACGTATCCATTCAGAGCCTCCATAAAGGAAATAAATTAATGTATAAAATAATCTAAATATATGCGTCTAATTATCTTGTCGCCTACAGTTTCCTTTAAAGTGTAGGATGGGAGAAGGGGTTGGGCATATAAGTCAATTAGTCAGTGTATTTGGAGTAAACGACAGAAGACCTTGAAAACGTCATTTAAGTGGTACAGGTTTGCATAAAAAGCCGTTAAGTTGCAAACATTTTGCGGGTGCAAAATGCATAAGACTAATAAAAAAACCGAAATGTTAAAAAGGTGTAGAATTTTGTGGAATAACAGCGAAAAACACATTCACCACATTTGCGCAATGGAATGTTCAGCAGTTTCAAAATTCATATCAACAAAACGATTTAATTAAATCAAGGTAGTAGTATGTTTATAGTTATAACAAAACTGACTGACTGAAATACTCATGGCTAAAACTGTCGCATACACCAAGTGCAGCCGCTCAAATGCGTCACTCGCCCTACGGAAGATATAAGCACTCATCTACTGGATTTTTTTCATCAATGGTCGTTGACCAAATCTAGAGCGACGTAAGAAGATTGTTAAGACAAGAGCTCTTTTTACAGAAACCACGTTGAATTGAGCTACTTTTACAGCGAAAGGTACTGAAAAATATCATTGAGTTTGGAACTGTCCTTTACAGCCGCTTACACAAAATGCATGCCAGACTGGGCGACGGGTAGTTGGTAGGATATAACCGTGATTCTCCTTTATAAATGGGTACAGTTGTAAACTTCCATATAGCAGGAAGTTAACCAAATTCGAGGAATTTGTGGAAGAGAATACAGAGCGGTCCTACGAATTCTTCAGCTGGTTGACGTGGAAGTACACCTGGGATGTCGGCTGGTTCAGGTGAATTGGTCAGATCCAGCTTCCTTAAATTGCTTCAAGTTTATAATTATCAACTCTAGTAACCTCAGGAGTAAATTATTTTCGACCTCCTCCCCCCCCCACCGCCGGCGTGCGGGAGGAAAAGGGAAAACCAAGAAGTTAACCACACCACAGGCCAGACACTCGAAAGACAGCAATAAACTGTGCTACTGTAAGATGACGCACATTCATCAAAACTCAACACTGAGGGGCAGGAAAATGTTTCCAAGTGGCCAAGTGCTGACAAGGCGGGCAAGTGTTAACGTGCATGGAGACCAAACTCACCACAGAGGACGTAGAGCTCGTAGCAGACAAGACTGTAAAAAAGCGCATCCGATTGAGTCAATTCGCGCAGCTCAGCCAGCAGGCGACAGTCTCTGGAGATGCGTGTGTCTGTAAGGGGAACAAAAGCCACGGGGTCAGGAAGCATGTCATACAGAGGCCATATGTGTGCGAGACGGTTGCCCAATTGGTTCCGTAAGACTATCAGGAGAAAGGTGCACACCAGCAGCCTTTTATGGCAAGTTAACAATGAGTTCAAACACGGCACACACAATAACTGCCACTATTTGGAGAGGGTAATTACTGTGGAGCCTTAGTAAACGAGTTGGCAAAAGTAGCTTTTGTAGTCCCACTCATATACCCCTTGTCCCAGCATTTTGTCCTACAAAAACGGTTGTGACAAGGTTTC